ACCCCCCCCCCCCCCCCCCCCCCTACCATTCGGATTTCCTGGGCACGCTACTGAAGTTCATGATTGCTTTCCACAGAATCCGGTATAGATTCCTAAAGATCCCACTGTGAATAATTAATGGAAAATGAATGGATGTTGGGGGAAAATTGCACAAAACCGAACGGATCCGACAGGAGATGGCGGTGATGAGCAGTGCGACGGCGTGCGCGGCGATCACGTCGCACCACGCGTCCATCTCGAACCTGCAGGCGCCGGATCCGGCATCCCTGACGGGGTCGTCCCAGCACGTGGGCTCCATCCTCGCGGAGAAGCTGCACGGGTTCACGGAGAAGCTGCAGCATCTCGGGCATCATCGCAGCGACTCGGACGGCTCCTCTCGCACCTCCCGGACAGGTACGCCGTCCGTTTTTCCCGTTCCGTCTCGACCGAGTGGGTCGCGGATCCATCAGCGCCGAGGGCCAAGAACATTCTTCATTCGTCGAAAGGGAGAAAGCCGTCGGAAGTGAGTGGCGGGGAAGAGTCCCACGAAGGTCATCGAGATTGATTGCGATGGATAAAAAGTCTGGTCACAGGGGAAGAAAAAAAATAAGGGCTTGGCTGCGGTTCTCTCTTTCCCTCAGCTAGCTAGCTGGCTTATATCATGAAGCCTTTTTTTATTTTTTCTTTTGGTGGAGAGAAAGGGTGCCAAGTGATGGCCATTTAGGTCGCTGTATGAGGAAAAGGATGGTTTCCCTCATTCTCGACAGGGAGCATGGGAGCGGCGATGCATCCCACGGTCATGGTCACACAGGGCCAAGAGCAACAACAGCAGCAGCAGCAGGGTCAGACGACGACGAACAACAAGAGCAGCGATTCCTCGTCCCCTGCGCATTCTCAGGCATCGAGAAATTCGTCTCGAAAGTCCAACGCCTCTCTGCTCGTCCTCTCCACGAACGGGAAGAAGGATCTCTCGGGGCTGGGTCAGAAGGACATCATTCATTCATTCATTCAGTGATTCATTTGTATGGAGGGGCCCCTCGGGGGGAGGGGGGAGGGGGGAGGGGGGGTGGGAGGGACACGGACTTGATTGAGCTTCCCCTTTTCCCCTCTCCCTTGGGACCATATGCTGCCTTTTCATCTTCGGACTCTCAGCCGGGGAAATCAGACTCTCGAGGATTCCTTCCTCTCCATATCGATCCTGCTTCGGCCGTTTTCCTCGAATTCCCCACTTTAGCCTGCTTTCCCGTATCGGCTGTAAATATGAGCATGCCCGAGGGAGTTCATGAGGATCCCGATATCGTTCCCCTTTCCCTCGATTTCCCGGTGAACCCGGATTCCGATTCTTCGTCTGACTGACGCAACTGGAAATTTTTTTCTGCTCGTGCAATTTCCCGTTTCACCTCCTTATCTCCGGTCCCGGCGCGGATGAACATCCCTGGTTGCAAGTCATTAATCTGAGGGGGAGGGGAAAGAAAGGGGGAAAAAGTTATCGAGCACATAAATCTCTTTAGTGTAGGTTCATCATGAGAGGGAGAGAACCCGAAAAGCAATTATCACTCTCTCTCTTGATGAGCAGACCCAGATTATAAGCGAGGAGAATGAAGAGATGGAGGAAAGAAGAAGGAATATCGGCAAGTTTTCCTCCTTCCCCCCGATTCTTCATGCTAGCGGCGGATGCATTCGCATTTTTCTTTCTTTCATCGCCGTTCTCGATACTTGCCTTTGATGGCAGCAATCCGCGCAATGGGCATCTCTCTTTTTCTCATGCCTGATAAAACCCAAATGGGATGCGGAGAAGGAAATGAGAGAGGGAGAGCCTCCTTCCAGAAGTTTCACCACGATTCGGATTCATGTTTTATGGATATGATGATGATTATGATGCCATGGAGTGGGCACACGGGCAGAAAGAATGAGGAAAAAAGAGAAACGGATGTTGGATTTTCTTTTCTTTCCATATCCTTCGTGTATTCTACGGGATGAAAGAAAGAGAGATAGAGAGAGAGGGGGGGGGGGTTTGCCTGTCATCGATCCGCGGGGCGGTGACGTCATTGATTTTTCCGTGACGTCATGGACGGCCCATCAGGGATGCCGGATCCGATGGAGGATTCCCCTCTCCCCGTTTCCGCTTCCTCGAGTCTCGTTTAAGGGGGGAAGGGAAAAAAAAAGGCAAGAGTGTAAGTACAACCCACTCGGGTCTGTAGACTTAACATCAACGATGCACATACATTATCCACGGGGTTGATTCCAATTTTCCGTCTCGCGGCATCCCTTCTTTTCTTCTTTTTCCCTCCAGCTCATTCTTCATCTCCTGGTGCTTCAAAAGGGAGGGGGGAGAGGGAAGAAAATTTTTTTTTTCAAAGGGTGTTGAAATGCCTCGTTGAAAGGTGGAGTGAAGAAGAGCGTGGACCTGGGTGGGACTGACGTACGGGTGAGCCTGAAAGACATCGTCTGTTACATGTCCCTCTTGGAAGGTGGGAGACCCGAGGATAAACTGGAATGTAAGAAAAGAATTCTGCCATTTCTTTTATTCTCGGACCGAGAGACCATCTGGCTCTTTTCTATAACATCGACTCATTTTGTTTATTCTGCTCCCTTTCTTTCACCCATCTAGTCATGTTTAGGCTGTACGACTCGGATGGGAATGGGGTTCTGGACACCAACGTGAGTACAATAGGGGGGTTGGGGAGGATTCCTTTGATTCATCGCTTAATTAGTCCCTTAATTAATGGACGCCTTGTTCCTCGGGTACAGGAGATGGATTGCATCATAAACCAGATGATGAATGTGGCGGAGTATCTGGGCTGGGACGTGTCGGAGTTGAAGCCAGTGAGCCTCATTCTTCCTGCGTGTGTCTCTCCCCTTTCGTCCATCCATCAATTAAAGGGAGGGGGTGATGGTATTAATTAGATCTTGAAGGAGATGATGATGGAGATCGACTACGACGCAGACGGGACGGTGTCATTGGAGGAGTGGAAGCGAGGCGGGATGACCACCATTCCTCTCCTCGTCCTCCTCGGATTCGATACCGTATGGGCGCCCCTTTTTTTTTTGCTTCTGTCGATTCTCGTTTCCTGCCTCTTTCGCGCCTTCCGGTCCCGCTTCCTCGTGTTGCGCTTACGGAAGTCGTAAGGGGAATTGATGCGCCACCGCGATGGAAACGGGTAGACAGACTCGCGTGATTTATGCTCGCACTCGAAGTGCATGCTTCCCGGTATTGAAGTGCCTCGAGCAATCTCCTTTATTCGTTGATGTAGACATATTTTGACGTAGCAGTAGCGCGAAAACGATGAAAAGATGTCACCGATTTTGAATAGAGGGCAAGCAATCAGATTATCTCTCCATCGATGACCCTGGTGTCGGAATTCACGAGCGACTCGCACGACTGGGTTCGGATTAAAGCTATAATTCATCAGGTTTATGCTCGGGGATTTCACCAGTCACGCCTCGCTTTAGTGCAAGAAACCGCTGAAAATTCGAGGTTGGTGCCATTTGTTCTCCCCGAGATTTTCTCCTCGCGCCCAGTCACTCTCGACACTGGAAAGTTTCAGGAGAAAATTCCCGTGAAGGCTTCCCAAAATGGCCTTGGGGGTCCTGTGAACATCCTTAATATGCTTTTAATGCTCTCTTGTATGTGACTCACGTTCCTCATACCTTCGGGTGAAGATATACTTGGCACATTAGCGAAGCGTTATACATGCACTTTCACGTTACATGTTTCGAAATTTACCACTCGTATTTTTATTTTTTTTTTCAAGGCACCTGTTCGCGGAACTGAAGAACTTTATAGCGGTACTTTTCACTGGTAAATCAGTACTTGGCACTCTGCCATCGATAGACTTTCCGACGAGGAACGAGAGAGGGTGTAAAAGGGGTTAGGGGAACTCTTAGTGGTTCTGGGAAGCAATATCCTCGATGGTCGTGTTTATTCGTTTGTTTATGGCACGGAATGGCATGCAGAACATGAAGGAAGACGGTCAACATCTGTGGCGGTTGAAGCACTTCAATCGACCCGCTTATTGCAACCTCTGTCTCAACATGCTCGTCGGGCTCGGCAAGAAAGGCCTCTCTTGCATCTGTACGTGCATTTTTTCTCTTCCGTTCGTCTTCCGATCGATCGGGTGCATGAGGAGTTGTCGATGGTGACAGGGTGCAAGTACACGGTGCACGAGCGGTGCGTGCAGAGGGCACCGGCGTCTTGCATTTCTACCTACGTGAAGAGTCGGAAGAGGAGGTCGGATCAGAACCTCATCCATCATTGGGTGGAAGGAAACGTGACGGGAAAATGTGCAAGGTGCAAGAAAACCGTGAAGACTCTCAATGGGATCACGGGTCTCCATTGTCGATGGTGCCATATTACCGTGAGTTCCCTCCTCTCACTCTCGCTCTCGCTCTCTCGTATGTTGTTGGCCTCGTGCTCTAACCTCGTAACCCCAAATGTGGAAACCAAGTTCCATATGCAACCCAGCCGAATCTCATCTCCGTGACGAGTCTCATTTGTGCGAAATGCACGCGAGAAGAGACATGTACAGACTGTTGTTTTTCTTCGATATGCAGATATACAGAGTGCCGATGCCTTAGCAGCCTCGTATGCTGTTGCCAGAGGCCAGAGCGCACGAGGCCGACGATATAAGTCGAAAGGCGTGGTCCGGAATGGACTTTGTATGCATGGAAGTGTCGGGGATACTTGGCGTTTCGCTCTTAAACTGGTACGACCAGAACTGGACTAGTCTGGGCGGACCTGCAAAATCTACGTACGAAGTGTATTTTCAGCTTCGGATTCGCCGAAGCACCGTTCACCGACTTCCTCGTGCGAGCACTTCACCGTTTCGGCGCCGTTCATTAAGTCGCACGCATAAGCGCTTGGCCGTCTCGGTGCCAAAGAACAATTCGCTCGCGTGAACGCGCTGTCGTTTCAGAGATCGTTCCCCGAAGTCGATCACCTTTCCCGTTCCGACATTTCACCAGATACTTAGCAGTCCATCGAGAGATGGAAATGGAATGCTCTGCTAGACTGTAAGTGGGACCGGGAACGCTCCATTCGGCAGGCATGAATGCTTTGCGCGAAGCGCTTCCAGTCCTCGAGCTGGCGCTGAATGCATCCAGGGTGAGGAAGATTACCCACTCTGGCATCTGGAGACATCCGCCCGACAAACAGTGGAGGACAAGGGCGGGGAGCTGGGGAGGGGGATTAATTAAGGGATGGGGATTTCCGTCCATTTGAGAACTCCGTTTAGCCCACACCAGATGTCTCTTCTGGGTGGATCGGGGATTCGTCCCGACGTCCATTCTCATCAGAGTGAGATTGGTGACCGATTCTTCGTTTCCATCTACTCGAGTCGCTTCCTCTGCGTTCGGGAAATACTGCGAGGCTCTGTCGAGGATGAAGTTCAAACAAGTGCAGAAAGGATTTTTTTTCCCGTTTCATTTCCAATCCCGAACGCATGATATTGGGCGCCGTTTAATTGCACTCCTCGGATTGCACAAAAGTTGGAATGGAAAGTAATTATTGGAGGCTCGCGACTCATCCCACTCTCTCCGTTCGGAGAATAGTGAGCCATAGGACAACGGTTAGTCGGAATTCAGCGAAGATATTCCTGATAAACTAGCCACTCTACTTTTTTTTGTCTCCTGTCACCGCATATCTGTTTAAAATAAGGATGAAATTTCGCATCAATGGAGAGCCTGCTTTATCCTTTTCCCATCGATCACCATTTACCAATCTACCCTGTAACCACTACTCACCGTAAATTTATGCTGATGACTCCGCCATCTACCCGGATCATCAAATGTCATGGTAACTTACCTCGTGATTACACGATCTCAACCATTTGTCAGCTTGGCTGCACGTAAATAAATTAGTTATTATTGTCGAGGAGACGAAATTAGCTTTCTTGCAGTGATGCAGACTTACACGGCTCGGCTCGGAACCCATTTCCAGCCCGGGCACATCGATGGCACTAAAATAGAACCAGTCCACAGTTTCATATTCCTTGCTTCCTGACGATAAGTTCATTTTCAACGTCCACTGCCAAGAAACATAAAAAGGAACCTTCGCATTTTCCATTGCCAAGAAGAGCTCGCATGTAATTCTTCCTCTGTATACGACATAGCCGAGACCTTATTTAGAGCATTCGTTCAATCTCGGAGGCCCTAGAAATAAAAGTGATTTAAGGACACCGGATCGGGCGCAGAGGCGGACCATTAAGACGATGAGGCAGGTACGGGATCTTTCATACGAGAGGCGTTTCGACGCCTCGGAACTCAATTCTCTGAAGATTGACGAGGGGGATTTCATGTAAGCATTCCAGATCATTAAGTACAACGATAACGTGAAGTGCGGTAGGTTTTTCCGGCTCGATGGTGACAGCATGACGAGTGGAAACCGATTCGAGTTCGACCGAGGTCACAGAATGACTTTTTTGCTCGTTGGGGTCGCGAATGCGCGGAATGCGTCGAGGAGTTGGACGAAACAAGGAAGAAAAGAAACAATTTATAACTGTAACTAGATAGTAGATGGGACTCTCGCCAAAGTTATTTATCCTCATTGGGGCGGGTCTAACTTAAATGAGTGCTCAATCACGAACCGAGATAGCCGAACCGATATGGACAGAAATGCTTCTTCGCGTCACAACCCAAACCAGGAACCTTCGCTCACTCAAAGAATATCTACTCTTTCCTCTTTCTCATAATCCTACTTCTATTTTTAAATAAATAAATAAATAAAAATACATTTGAAAAACCTATTTCTTCTGTTTGTACGGTTTGGATTACCTTTATACGGTAGCTGCACTCGTATGAACTCGTCTCAGCGCATCACAGTAATCCGAAAGAAAGCCATTAAGAAGCCGAAAATTTCTCAGACTAATCCACTTTTCTCATATCCTCCCCGCTCTCTCCAATTTCTGGCAACATAAGAGTCTCGTTTAAAGTCCTTCTTGAGCGGCTCCCGGGGTGTCTTCGCGGTCTGTTTGGCTTTCCCCATCGTACTTACGACACGAGATGCAAATCGAGAAATCGGTTTGGTGCCACGTTTCGTAATAAAAAAAATAGGATGACTCGCTTGCTCTGGCAAGGAGCCACGATGCCGTGGAACGACCCCGACGACATCGAGGTGCGTATCAAACGTCTCGGACGACATATATCTGAGATTCTTCATAAACGTCTTCTTGATGGCCTGGTGGCCGGCGAAGGCCAAGCGCAATTCCTCTCTACCCTTCTTCCCTCTCTTTCTCTTTCCGTCTTTTCATGTCTCACTTACCCAGCTGAATCTTGCGTTTTATAGTTTTTTTTTGTTACCCCTTAGGGTTGGTTCTGATGCGTCTGTCGGTTATTGTCAGGGAGCCTACGCCCACTTCTTGCCATCAACTGTAGATTTATCGCATCTCGTTATTTTTGCTTGTAACTTTTTTCTGTACCTCGGGACGATCTTGAGGCAATTTTTATTCTTAGAATCCTTTCTCCCTGTCCCGAGTAAATCGAAATCGGAGTCAAAACCATCGCTGAGATCCGCCATTCACTCCGAGGGACGAGGCAAAAAGTGTGAAAAATTCTTCGCTCTTCTCGGCCGTGAGAACAGAAACGGATCTTCGTCGTTGCCTTCCTCGACGAAGCAAATGAAGCAAATGAAGCAATCGGCCGAGAATATAGTCAGATTGTTTTTCCTCGGGTCTCATCTCGTGCTTTCTTTTCGGCCTCGTCATGTCGGAACTGGTCGATGCACTCGAGGCATGGCCGCGTCTTATCGGGCTCATGATAATATATTGCTTACCATAGGGGTGCAGCGACGTAGCGTCGAAGGTCCAGGGGGGGCACGTGCCCCCCACTTTTCAAGAAAAGAGGCCAAAAAAAATGAAGGAAAAGACCCAGAAACACATGATAACAGTATCCAGAGTTTCCGTGCCCCCTCCCTCTCTCCCTTTCTCTTCTGCTGTCCGTTTTACAATGGAGACTGACCCAGATCGGGATCGAGACATCTCTATAAAATAAAAAATGCTTCT